AACTCCTGACCTCAAGTGATCTCCGGGCCTCTGCCGCTCAAAGTGCTAGGATTACAGGCATGAGCCACCGTGCTCGGCCTTAATTCCTTTATGGCCAACTGTTACACAGAAAAGCAAAGAGGTTATAGCAATATTTGTAGGCTTTATGGCTGGCTTTGGGGCAAAGGGGTTCTACTTTCTATGACCCTCTCTTGGGGAGGAGGGCTTCTAGTTTCTGTGGCATGCCTGGAGGGAGAGTAAGGGGCAAGAGACAAGAGGGCAGAAGGTCAGAGAGAAACTGCTTCCTAGGCCTTCACTTTGTGGCATTGTTTTCTAAGCCTCAGCACTAGGTTGGTGGGAAAAGGTGAGGGCAGGTGCTTTGAAAACATTTTTAAAATCCTTTCCCAGCTAGCTTCCTACCCACTGAAGCCACACTGCTAGGAAGGAAAAAGAGAAGGGCAGATGCTGAAGCCCTGGAGAGTCGGCCTGAAGTGAGGAAGTGGCATGTGAATGTCCATCTTTTCTTTCCTCAGTGTGCCCAGGGATAGAGAATGGGAGACAGCAAGACAGAACAGAATGTCTCATTAACTCTGGGCAGCATCCAGATACTTCAGGCCTGGGAGAAGTGTCCTCGACTGCCCATGGGCTCAAAGTTAGGATGTAGCTAGTGAGATCAGATGCAACAACCTTGGACCTTGATCGACCCTATTTCAGAGCCATCGTTGATTCAGGAGCCCTCCTGTAGGAGACGGGGCAGAAACATTCAGGTGAGAGTCCTCGGAACTGAGAATGTGGCGAGAATATCCTTGACTGCCAGCAGCAACCTAATTTCTGAGTCTCTTTCCTAATCTGTGAAATGAAGTAGTTGAACTCATTTTTTATGTAAGCTGGTTTGTGATATAAGAATATGGACATGCCAGGCGCGGTGGCTCACACCTGTAATCCCAGCACTTTGGGAGGCCGAGGCGGGTGGATCACGAGGTCAGATCGAGACCATCCTGGCGAACACGGTGAAACCCCGACTCTACTAAAAATACAAAAAAATTAGCCGGGCGTGGTGGCGGGTGCCTGTAGTCCCAGCTTCTAGGGAGGCTGAGGCAGGAGAATGGCGTGAACTCGGGAGGTGGCAGAGCTTGCAGTGAGAGGAGCTCACGCCGCGCCACTAATATATAATACTAATATATATTAGTACATATATATGTACTAATAAAGTCCCTTACATATAGGTGTTTTTTTTTTTTTTTGAAATGGAGTTTCGATCTTGTTGCCCACGCTGGAGTGCAATGGTGCAATCTCAACTCACTGCAACCTCCACCTCCTGGGTTCCAGGAATTCTCCTGCCTCAGCCTCCCAAATAGCTGGGATTATAGGCATGCGCCACCACGCCGGGCTAATTTTGCATTTTTAGTAGAGACGGGGGTTTCTCCAGTTGGTCAGACTGGTCTCGAACTTCCGACCTCAGGTGATCTGCCCGCCTTGGGCTCCCAAAGTGCTAGGATTACAGGAGTGAGCAACCGCGTCCAGCAGCATTTTCCCCCCATTCGTTGTTTTATTTTATGCCACAACGAGAAGGCGGGGCTAAGCAAAGTAGGTTTTTGTTTCGTTTGGTTTTCTGGGATGGAGTTTCTCTCTTGTTGACCAGGCTGGAGTGCAATGGCACCATCTTGGCTCACCGCAACGTCCGCTTCCTGGCTTTAAGCGATTCTCCTGACTCAGCCTCCCGAGTAGCTGGGATTACAGGCATGAGTTGCGCCACCACGCCTGGCTAATTTTGTATTTTTAGTAGAGACGGGGTTCCTCCATGTTGGCCAGGCTGGTCTTGAACTCCCTACTGCAGGTGATCCGCCCGCCTCGGCCTCCCAAAGTGCTGGGATTACAGGCGTGAGCCACCGCGCCCGGCCGCAAAGTAGGTATTTTTATTATAGTTTGTTGTTATTGCTGTCATTCCTATTTTGAGGTGATTAAGTGCCCTCCTGGGCCTGACTCGAAAAAGTGCACAGTCGGTTGCTCCTCCCTCGCCTCCATTCGTACTTCCAGGATGGCGGCTGCAGGTCACCTGACAAGAGACAAGGCGGGACGCCAGGCTAACAGTTTGTCCTCGGCGCGCCGCCGTAGCCCGCCGGCGGCCGCACGGTGGCCCTTCTCATCCACGCGCCAGAGTCGCAGTGGGCGGGCCTACGTGCTCCGCCCGCTGTGCGCCTGTCCGGCAGGTGAGAGGATCACCTGAGGTCAGGAGTTCGAGACCAGCCTGAACATGGCGAGGCCTGCTGCACTCCGCCCGGACCCCTGGCCCCGCCGCGGGTAAGGTCCCTGCTTGCCACTGCCCGCGCCCTCGTGTCCTTGCGGTGACCTGGGCCCCCGCCGCCACTCCGGGGCGGGCTGTCCCCGGCCTAGCCCTTGCCTACAATGGTTACTGAACCCTGTGACCGCGGGCCGCCCTGGCCGCCGCTTCGAGTAGTGGAGGACCTGAGAGCGGTCCCCCGGGGCCTCCCTCCGGGCAACTTCCTGGCTCTGCCACCGCGGACAGGTCAGATGTGGACCTACTGTGAGCGCCGAGGAGGGGACGCAGCGCTCCCCTTCGGTTCCCGGGCCATGACCCTGCCCCGGCGCCGACCCTGCGGCCGCCTGACCGAGAGTGGCCGCCGCCGGCCTGCAGCGCCTCGGCGAAGGTGACATTGAGCCTTCGGGCGCGCCGCTCAGGGTCCGAGAATACAATATGCTTCCGTGTGGAACACAGAATTATACTTTTTAATCAGACATTTCTCGGTTAGCGTTTAGTGTGTCACCTTCACAGCCTTTTCTGTCATTTTTAGGGACTGCTGTGCCACGTTCTCATTCTTCCACGTTTAAAATAGATCGACGTGTGTGGTTGTTTCCTGATCTCCGGAAGTTTTGATAGGGCTTATGATAAAAATATCACTCTTTTGAAAATTGAATGCCACAGACTCGGGAATACTGGGTTTTGCAAGCATAGGAACGCTTCTTGTTTTTTCCCCTTTGGAATAGAAGCCTGATTGCTGGAGTATGAGACGTGCTGCTGATTCTTACTTTCTTTCCCCTTATATGTGTACTGGGAGATTTTGAGTCCACCACCGTAGAATAATTACAGTAATTGCACTTCGCTCTTGGTCCGTGATGATTATATAAGCTACATTTTGAAATTTAGCTCCGATGCATCCATATTATATTTTATTTTTGAACCCGCATCACTGGAAACTGTGCATGCATATTTAAACATAAGAACTCAGAAATTCATTTCAGGGTATGCTGAAGTTAATTTAAAAAAGAACTCGGCCGGGCGCAGTGGCTCATGCCTGTAATCCCAGCACTTTGGGAGGTCGAGGCGGGCGGATCACCTGAGGTCGGGAGTTCAAGACCAGCCTGGCCAACATGGAGAAACCCTGTCTCTACTAAAAATACAAAAAAATTTAGCTGGGTGTGGTGGTATGCCCCTGTAATCCCAGCTACTCGGGAGGCTGAGGCACAAGAATCGCTTGAACCTGAGAGGCAGAGGTGGCAGTGAGCCGAGATCGCGCCATTGCACTCCAGCCTGGGCGACAGAGCGAGACTCCATCTCCAAAAAGAAAAAAAAGAATTCAGAAACTCAAAACTAATAAGGTTGTTGCCTTGACTAAGTGTTTTAACACTTCAGAACCTAAATAATATGTTTTGCTTCATTCATTTTAGACTTTATGTTTTATCATTTGTCATAGAACCGTAAGGCTGGAGGGTACTTTATTTTTGTTTATTTTTAAAGTAGAGACGGAGTGTCCCTATGTTGAACTCCTGGGCTGAGGTGATCCTCCCACCTCAGCCTCCCAAAGTTTGGGGTTATAGGCATGAGCCACTGCAGCCAACCTAGAGTGTGCTTTAGAGATCGTGGAGACCATTTTATTGTATAGAAAAGGAAACCAAAATCCATCTTGGGAAACTGAATTCTTGTTTGTTTGTTTGTTTTTTTGGTTTTTTTTTTTTTTTGAGACGGAGTTTCGTTCTTGTTGCCCAAGCTGGAGTGCAATAGCGTGGTCTCAGCTCAAGCGATTCTCCTGCCTCAGCCTCCAGAGTAGCTGGGGTTACAGGCACCTGCCACCATGCCTGGCTAATTTTTGTGTTTTTAGTAGAGACGGGGTTTCACCGTGTTGGTCAGGCTGGTCTCGAACTCCTGACGTCAGGTGATCCACCTGCCTCAACCTCCCAAAGTGCTGGGATTACAGGCATGAGCCACCACGCCTGGCCGAAACTGACTCCTCTTTAATGGTGGAACCATTTTTGTTTCTTATAGTTATGTTTGGGCCATCCTGATGTTTGTTCAGATTTTGTGTTTTGCTAAAGTAACAGTACAATTTACATTTTTCATCCGGGCACAGTGGCTCATGCCTGTAATCCCAGCACTTTGGGAGATTGTGGTGGGTGGATCACCTGAGGTCAGGAGTTCGAGACCAGCCTGAACATGGTGAAACCAGTCTCTACTAAAAATCCAAAAATTAGCCAGGTGCGGTGGCATGCACCTGTGGTCCCAGCTACTTGGGAGGCTAAGGCAGGAGAATTGCTTGAACCTCGGAGGCAGAGGTTGCAGCGAGCTGAGATTGCGCCACTGCACTCTAGTCTGGGCAACAGAGTGAGACGCCATCTCAAAAAAAAAATTTTTTTTTAATTAATTTTTTTTTTCTGGAGATAGTTTCACTGTGTTGCCTAGTCTGGAGTGCAGTGGCACCATCACAGCTCACTGCAGCCTTGACCTCCTGGGACTTAACTGATCCTCCTGCCTCTGTCTCCCAAGTTGCTGGGACCACAAGGGTGCCCCACCAGTTTTATTTTTCATATTTTTCATAGAAACAGTATCTCCCTATGTTGCCCAGGCTGGTCTGGGAACTCCTGGGCTCAGGAGTGCCTCCAGCTTCCCAAAGTCCTGGGATTACTCTTTTTTGTTTTTTTTGTTTTTTTTTTTGAGACAGGGTCTCACTCTGTCATGCAGGCTACAGTGCAGTTGGCACAGCTCACTGCAGCCTTGACCTGGGCTCAAGTCATCCTTCCACCTCAGCCTCCCAAAGTGCTGGGATTACAAGCGAGAGCCACTGTGGCTGGCCTCAATAACTCGTTAATGTGCCCTCATTCCTAGAGTTACCACCACCAGAATGTTCATTCTTTGGGCCTGTCTGGGTTGATTATGTATTAAATGGAAAACTATCCTATTTAACTAAATTTAAACCTGAAGGATTAATGAGCCCTTTTATTTTTCTATATATGTTAGCCTTTTTTGTTTTTATTTATTTATTTATTTTTTTGAGTCGGAGTCTCGCTCCGTCGCCCAGGCTGGAGTGCAGTGGGTGTATTTTGGCTCACTGCAGGCTCTACCTCCCGGGTTTACGCTATTCTCCTGCCTCAGCCTCCCTAGTAGCTGGGACTACAGGCGCCCGCCACTTCGCCCGGCTAGTTTTTTGTATTTTTTAGTGGAGACGGGGTTTCACCATGTTAGCCAGGATGGTCTCGATCTCCTGACCTCGTGATCCGCCCGTCTCGGCCTCCCAAAGTGCTGGGATTACAGGCTTGAGCCACCGCGCCCGGCCCGCCTTTTTTGTTTTTAAATGGAGTGCTTAACTGAATGCCAAAAAGCAGTGTTAGAAATAGCTTTTTAGAATGAAGCCCTAAAAATGTCCTCATTTTTCACAGCTGCTTCTTTTTTCTTTAGAACTTTCAGGTTACGTAAAAGCTCTGAGTAATTGTTTTCCAAAATAATTTGCCTTACAAGCTTCAATACTAGGTGGAGATCCTGTTCTTAAGTGGTGTGGGGTGTGTGGGGCAGAGAATGCTTGTATAGTTTACCTAAAAAAATATTAAGCATGTGGAGGATGTGTCCATAGCTAATAGAATAGATCCTGCTCTCCCCATGACTGGATTTAACAATATAATTGAAATCGTGTGGGGAGAGTCTGTTTTACCCCTTCAGAAAGAGATGTATGGGTTTTTAAATTTTTATTTATTTTAATTTGTTTGATAGAGAGTATTGCTCTTTCACTTAGGCTGGAGTAGAGTGGTGCAGTCATAGCTCATTGCAGCCTTGTTGCCCTGGGCTCGAGGGATCCTCCTGCCTCAGCCTCCTGAATAGGTGGGACCACCAGACCCCGCTAATTTTTTAAGTTTTTTGTAGAGAGTGGGGGTCTCTGTTGCCCAAGCTGGTCTCTCAGTCCTGGCATCAAGCGATCCTGCCTTGGCCTCTCAAAGTTCTGGGATTACAGGCGTGATCCACCGTGCCTGGTCTGTTTTATAAAAGAGTTTTTTTAATAGAACCAGTTTGTAATTTGGCTTCCAGAAGACATGTGATCAAATCCTTGAAGGTGGTGATCTCCTTGATTTGGAGTTGCTGTTGCTGGTCATCTTATTCACAGTTAGGAAACAAAGAATTGCACTCATGTAGTCAAATCCATGCCCAGCAGTGAACAAAAGGAATTGCGCTTATCATGAAGCAGTGTTCTGGATAGGACAGGTAATTACCTCTAGGGAAGCAGTACGTAGACCTTTTATTGGGTGAATACTTAGAAGTGGAATTACTGTGTTATATGGTAGGTTTGTGTTTAACTTGATAAGAAACTGCTTAAACAGTCTTCCAAAGTGATTGTATCATTTTATATTTGCATTTTAAGTATTCAGTTAAGGCTAGCTTTAGCTTTTGAAAAAGGTAGCTCATAAATTTTTTTTTGAGACAGGGTCTCACTGTGTTGCCCAGGCTAGTGCCGCTGCATCTGGCCCTAAGTTCTTGATAGTAGTGTGTTAGACGGTTGTTCTAATCTATGTTTGTGTGTGTGTGTGTGTGTGTGTGTGTATATATATATATTTTTTTTTTTGAGCCACCGCACCTGGCCTTGTTTTCTGATATATTAAATTTGAATATTAGTCTTGTGAGACTTATTCAGTATCCATGTAATTTTGATTAAATGTTCGCACTTACCAGATATATTTAGGTGTGGAGATCCATTTTTGTTGTAGAAATTAAGGCCGGGTACGGTGGCTCATGCCTGCAATCCCAGCACTTTGGGAGGCTGAGGCAGGCAGATCATGAGGTCAAGAGTTCGAGACCAGCCTGACCAACATGGTGAAACCTCGTCTCTACTAAAGTTACAAAAAATTATCCTGATATGGTGGCACACGCCTATAATCCCAGCTACTCGGGAGGCTAAGGCAGGAGAATCACTTGAACCTGGAGGTGGAGGTTGCAGTGAGCCAAAATTGTGCCATTGCACTCCAGCCTGGGCAACAGGGTGAGACTCTGTCTCAAAAAAAAAAAAAAAAAAAAGAAATTAAAACGTATTCACTTCTAGTCCATTTATGTACATATTCCACTTCATTCTGGGCTTGGATTATGTAGGTAATTTAGGTCTCTGGGAAGATCTTTTCTGCTTTGGTTTTTTTCCTACTCTTCCTCCTGCTCGTTACTGCATTAAAGATATGTAGGATATTACTAACATTTAAATTTCAGAGTATTCTTAGAACAACAATGTTGAGAGGTTTCTGGGTGAAGTTTAAAAAAAAAAAAATATATATATATATATATATATATATATGTTAAAGCTGGGCACGGTAGCTCATGCCTGTAATTCTAGTACTTTGGGAGGCCGAAGTGGTAGGATTCCTTGAGGCTAGGAGTTCAAGACCAGCCTGGGCAACATATCAAGACCCCCATCTCTAAAAGTAAATAAATAAAAATACTTTAAGTCTTAACTAGAAGTTACACCACACTTATCTAAAACAGATAGTAGGAAATGTGATTTGAGATAGGTTTCATTTCTTTAAGTTATGATTTCTATAAATAGACAATCAACAAAGACATTTTTAGATAAGGATTAGTTTATAGCTACCATTTGTTTAATACTTACTGGTGCATAGTGTTAACCTACTTGTTTTCACATTTAATCTTTATAATCTGCTAAGGTGGGTAGTGTCCCCATTTTACAGATAAGGAAAATGAAACTTCAGTTAATTTTCCAGGGTCAAACAGTGAGAGCGAAGAGCCTAGAGGTATCTGAGCTCTAGGCTGTGCTGCATCCAATACTCCAAGATAAAATTTTCTGCCTCCTCTTATCCCCCTACCTGTTGCAGAGGCTGTTCAGAAGGAATTCAGATTTCCAAACTCAATTCAGTGTCCATTTGACAAGAGGAAAGAAAAAATGGAGCCGGGTGCAGTGGCTCACGTCTGTAATCCCAGCATTTTGGGAGGCTGAGGTGGGCTGATCACTGGAGGTCAGGAGTTCTAGACCAGCTTGGGCAACATGGTCAAATCCCGTCTCTACTCAAAATACAAAAATTAGCCAGGCGTGGTGGCACACACCTGTAGTCTTAGCTACTCAGAAGGCTGAGGCAGGAGAATAACCTGAATCTAGGAGGCAGAGGTTGCAGTGAACTGAGATTGTTCCACTGCATTTCAGCCTGGGTTACAGAATGAGACTCTCGATCTCCAAAAAAAAAAAAAGGAAATGATTTTCATACCATACTGTAAAGGATGTATTGATTGGGAGTCTCTACTAGCCTTCAGAATGCTGCAGGCAAAAAAACACATGAAAATAGTTGTGTATCCTGTTTTCTTGACAGTGTTACATTTAAAATATCGTTTCTCTTTTTCTTTGAGACGGAGTCTTGCTGTGTCGCCCAGGCTGAAGTACAATGGCGTGATCTCAGCTCACCTCAACCTCCGCCTCCCGGGTTCGAGCGATTCTCCTGCCTCAGTCTCCCGCATAGCTGAGATTACAGGCGCCCGTCATCATGCCCAGCTAATTTTTTGTATTTTTAGTAGAGACGGGGCTTCACCATGTTGATCAGGCTGGCCACAAACTCCTGACCTAAGGTGATCCACCCGTCTCAGCCTCCCAAAGTGCTGGGATTACAGGTGTGAGCCGCTGCGCCCAGCCCAAAATATCATTCCTTATAAAACAGCTATTTTGTATTAGGTATAGATTAGAGTGTATGTTCCCTTAGGGGATTTATCAGAATCTTTAGGGAAGGGACTGTAGTTTGATAAAGCAATTTGTATGTGTAATTTGTCAGGATGTGTAATTTATTTTGGAATATAATAACATGAAATTTTTTTTTTGTAATGTGTCAATGAAGTATATACGTTTGTTTAAGAACTTGAATGGGGCCAGGGCTGGTGGCTCACACCTGTAATCTCAGCACTTTGGGAGGCAAGGGTGGAAGGAATGCTTGAGCCCAAAGCGTTTGAGGCTGCAGTGAGCTGTGATTGCACCACTGCACTCCAGCTTGGGCAACAACAGAGCGAGCGCCTGTCTCAAAAAAAAGAACTTGAACGGACATTAGCATTATTCTTAGTTTTTTGTTGTTGTTGTTGCTTTTTGTGTTTTTGTTTTGTTTTGTTTTGTTTCTTTCTTTTTTTTTTTTTGAGGCAGAGTCTCGCTCTGTTACCAGGCTGGAGAGCAGTAACGTGATCTCGGCTCACTGAACCTATGCCTCCCGAGTTCAAGCAATGCCCCTGCTTTAGCCTACCAAGTTGCTGGAACTGCAGGCATGTGCCACCACATCCAACTAATGTTTGCACTTTTAAAAGAGATGGGGTTTCACCATGTTGGCCAGGATAGTCTTGATCTCATGACCTCGTGATCTGCCCGCCTCGGCCTCCCAAAGTGCTGGGATTACAGGTGTAAGCCACTGCGCCCAGACTATTCTTAGTTTTTTGTTTTTGTTTTTGTTTTTGTTTTTGTTTTTGTTTTTTTTGAGACAGAGTCTCGCTCTGTCGCCCAGGCCAGAGTGCAGTGATGCGATCTCGGCTCACTGCAACCTCCGCCTCCCAGGTTCACGCCATTCTCCTGCCTCAGCGTCCCCAGTAGCTGGGACTACAGGCGCCCGCCACCACGTCCGGCTGATTTTTTGTATTTTTAATAGAGACGGGATTTCACCATGTTAGCCAGGATGGTCTCGAACTCCTGACCTCATGGTCCACCCACCTCAGCCTCCCAAAGTGCTGGGATTACAGGCGTGAGCCACTGCGCCCAGCCCTATTCTTACTTTTTAGAGGTGGAGTGTCGCTGTGTTGCCCAGGCTGGAATGCAATAGCTATTTTCTCAGGTGCTGTCATATTGTTAGCACCCTACAACATTGAACTCCTGGGCTTGGGCAATCTTCCTGCCTCAGCCTCTGAGTAGCTGGGACTACAGATGTGTGCCCCACTATGCCCACCTGGGACCTTTTTTTTTTTTTTTTTTGAGACGGAGTCTGGCTCTGTCGCCCAGGCTGGAGTGCAGTGGCGATCTCAGCTCACTGCAAGCTCCGCCTCCCGGGTTCACGCCATTCTCCTGCCTCAGCCTCCTGAGTAGCTGGGACTACAGGCGCCCGCCAACACGCCCGGCTAGTTTTTTGTATTTTTTAATAGAGACGGGGTTTCATCATGTTAGCCAGGATGGTCTCGATCTCCTGACCTCGTGATCACCCGTCTCGGCCTCCCAAAGTGCTGGGATTACAGGCTTGAGCCACCGCGCCCGGCCACCTGGGACATTTTTACTTAAGAATTAATACTCTGGTTACGTGTAAAAATTCAAACAATATGGAAGTATATAAAGTAGTTTTTACCTCTCACAGATAATCACTGTTAATTTAAAATCAGAGGGAACCACTGTTAATAATTTCAAGCTAGTATTATACATTAGGGAGAAAAGTATAAACATGCCTATGTAATACTTTTTGTTCTACTTGGTTTTATTTGCTTAATTTTAAAGATATCTTTCTATATCAATGTATAAGATGTACTTCCTTTGACCTGTTGAATATTTTATCTGCCACAACATATATAGTCGACTCAAAATTTAATGCATTAAACAAGATATATCAAGTACTGTTTGTGTACATTGAAGTTATGGTTCTTTCACATTGTAGCTATCCAGTCAGTTCGCTGCTATTCTCATGGGTCACATGAGACAGATGAGGAGTTTGATGCTCGCTGGGTAACATACTTCAACAAGCCAGATATAGATGCCTGGGAATTGCGTAAAGGTAATTGGAACATAAACATATTTGTCTATTTTTGTGTGTAAATATGAACTGCTTCTGCCCCTTTATTGAGAGCAACTGTTTTGAAAAATGCATCATTTAAACTAGTTACTCCATGCAACTTTCAGTTAGGAAAGTTACCTACAAAGCAGGATTTTAAGGCAGCACTATTGACATTTTGGGCCAGATAATTCTTTGTTGTAGGGGACTGTCCTTTACACTGTAGGATGTTTAGCATCACCTTTGGCCTCTACCTGCTAGAAGCCAGTACGTACACACTCATACCATGTGACCACCAAAAATGTCTCTAGACGTTACCCAGTGTCTCCTGAAAACCACTGCTATAGCAATAAGGCTAGATGAGCAAAAGGTAACAGTTTTGTACATTTCAAAGAATGTACACAGGCCAGGCGTGGTGGCTTACGCCTGTAATCCCAGCACTTTGGGAGGCCGAGGCAGGCGGATCACGAGGTCAGGAGATTGAGACCATCCAGGCTAACACAGTGAAACCATGTCTCTACTAAAAATACAAAACAATTAGCCGGGCGTGGTGGCGGGCGCCTGTAGTCCCAGCTATTTGGGAGGCTGAGGCAGGAGAATGGCGTGAACCCAGGAGGCAGAGCTTGCAGTGAGCCGAGATCGTGCCACTGCACTCCAGCCTGGGCGACAGAGTGAGACTCCGTCTCAAAAAAAAAAAAAAAAAAAAA